TGGATGGGGCTTTGAGCAACCTGGTCTAGTGGAAGGTGTTCCTGCCTATGGCAGGGGGCTTGGAACTGAATGATCCTTAAAGTCCTTTCCAGTTCAAACCATTCTGTGTTTCTGTGCTCTCCCTTTCTCTGGGGGCTTTTAAAGGTGGTTCTGTTCTTCAGGCACCCACCTTCAGTTTCTGTGCTAGACACCAGGTCCCACCCTTGCTAATGTCAACCTTTCCCTTGGCTGGAAAGTGAAGGCAAAAATGACTTGAGTTTCAGTACCAAGGTCACAGTCGCTTTCAGGGTGCTGTTATTTGAGATATTGGGTCTACCACTATTCTAGGCAGCCATGAGCAGTGATTTCAGCCTTCTCTCCCCAACAGCTCCCATGCTGGATTCTTGCTAAGCAAGAAAGTAAACAGCAGCCTCTGCATATGGGCAGCAGCAGCAGCACCGCATCAGCTGAAGTTCCTCTTCTCTGCAGCATTCAGGAGCTTTCAGTGAAATATCAGCACCACATCCTTACCAACCTGCAGCCCTCTGAGGAGCAGAAAATTGAAAATGGAAGCAAAAGTAGCTCAGATGATGTAACACAGTCAGACGAGGTACTAGAAACAGCCCTTAGAAGTATGCAAGTTTAGAGAGCTGCCCAATACCAGCTAAGTTTATCTTAGAAAATTAAACAAACAAACAAAACAACTGGTCACCGAGATGCTTTTTTGAGCTGCAGTTTGACTTCTTCTGCATGTATTATGGACAGTTGATTAAATCAGCGGCTAAATCCAGAGTGAGGGCAGCCTGCAATTTAACAAGAATGTTATCCAAACATCTTACGCACATTCCTTTTTATTATTTTATATTTTTCATTAACTAGGATATGAATAGGATATGTTTTCAGAGAAAACATGGTAATTTGAAATTGCTAGCTCCGGCAAACTGGAGACCTAGAGTTTTTCAATCACTTTGTACTCTGAGAATTTATAAAAGAGGTATGACAGGTATAAGAAGCAATCGGTGCTGCTTCATGAGGAAATGCTTGTGCTTATGAGAATATTAAGAATGTCTGTCTCCTTTTTCAAATAGCATGTGTCATTTAAGACATCAAGAAGAAAATTATGTTGGCTTCCAGCTCCCTACTAGTTTCCTGCACACGATCACCTCCCTTCCCGCTAGTCTAAAAATAATGGGAAATATTAAAAAATGAGCAAAAGGATGCAGTTGAGAAGCCAGTTACATTCAAGAACCTATAATATTAAGATAAAATGGATGTTCTGAGTATGTAGGTGTTTGAAATAATGATGACCATAAGAAGACAGATGAAGACTAAAATTATTTTCCAGAAGTGAAGTAGGGTTATGTGAGAAATTGACGGCATGTGGTCTTGAAAATGAAGGTGTGGATGACAGCCTGGGTTCAGTGTTCAAAACAGCCCTTTGGATGAACACACGTTTTCCACCAAGTAGAGGGAGTCTGAGGGGAAAAGAGAGTGGTATTTCAAAGCTTCTGCTTTGAAGCCTTGTGCAAGCACAGATCTACTTAGCAGATGAAGAGTCTATAAGCACTATCCAGAACTTGCATTCCTGATCATAGTACACAGTTGAGACTGCATGAGTCTGTAGCCTCCTACTAAATGTGTACTGCAAATGCAACCATTTCTCTGTCTCTATGTGTTTGTGTATATAGATATGTATATATGTATGTGCATGTATACATTTATGCATGTGAGTGTATAGGTGACCACACTGCTAATATAAAATCAGTATGTCCTGATAACCTTGTTCTCAGCCCTGTGAAATAACTGAGCTCTACTTCCAGTCCTACAAAGTATCTAGACGCATTCCTGGACGCATGTGCTTATGCCCGTGGTTAAATGCCTTGACAGCTCAGGTCCCAGTTCCTCCACATTCGCTGCAAGAGGGAGCAGAGGAGGAGGAGTAAGGAAGGGGCTGACCCTCTGCCTCTGTGGTGAGTGATGGAACTTAATGTTCCATTTACAGTTCCATTTTAAAAATAGATGCTGGGCAAGTAAGCAATTAAAATTCAAGAAGGAAAGCAGAACTATCTGGCGGTTGTTCAGTAAGTCTAACTTGTATAATAAAGATCTGCACATAGCTGGTATAAGTATAAACAGTCAGCAGCATGAGATTATGAAAAATAATTCTTGCCTGGCAAATGTAATTACTTTTAACAAAATTTAAAACCCATGGACTGAAGAGAATACAGCAAAACTATTCTCTCTGCAGTCTGGGTCATTCAGCTGTATGTGGAATAAGCTCCCATAAAACATCTGAACTGTTTTGGGGTGTATCGATGCAGACAGGTGCAAAAGGGTCCAAATTCCATGCTGGACATATGCTAGCTCGGCCCTGTTCCCAGTCAAATGAACTCACTAAGAGATCTAGTAGAGTCACGTGAGCGCCATATGGTGACACCACTTCCAAATGAGAGCAGGGTCATGTCAGTGAGCTCACGTGTGTTTTCACACACCAAGATACCTCCCGAGTCCCCAGCTCTCCTCCGTGGCATTGAGTTCACCAGGAGAAGTGATGAACAATAGTTGCCTATGACTGTCTCACCATTATCCAGCACTTTCTGGGCTCCACCCCTCCTCCCCAGTTCTCTTCTGGGTAAATCACTCGCTGTCAATGGCCTGGCAGGACAAACACCATTGTTCCATCTAGTGGAGAGCTATTCAGTGTTGATGGCCTTTGATTTCTCTTTCCAAACATAGGCCTTGCCTCTGCCAGATAGGATTTTGATGGTAGGGTTATGCTGGCAAATCCTCCCAGCATAACAGTCTGTAGTCCCCGAAGATTTATTGTGGCCCAAATCAGTCTAACTTACATCAATTGTGTGGATATAATAAGTGCAGACAATACCAAAAGCCTCTCAGAAAATGTCCAATATAAAATAGATACACTAATTTACTGTGAAGGTTACAAATGTAAATAGCATTCAGAATAAAAGTAAATAACGTATTCATAGTTTGGCACAGACGTGTTGCCAATGTGTCACATCCTGACGGATTGGGGATATGTCTGTGTCAAAATATAAATTCCATTTTTGCTTTTTGAATGCCATTTGCAATTGCAACTGTCCATGTGGATTAATGCATCTATTTTTATAGCCAAGGCTTTGTCTGGGGAGATGTAACAGAGCAATCAACAGTGATGACTGGTTCTATTTTGCTTGAGCAACAGTGTTCAAGCAAACTGGGCTTTTCCATGTTCCACCCACGTGCAGGGCAGGAGCAAAAAAGGGATGCAACCTTACTATGTGGGTACATTTGTCAAAGTGAGGTCTCCTTGCTAAATGCAAGGCATGAGTGGCCAAGCCGAAGAATTAACGGTGATTGTGTGGTCAGGTGGTGGGGCGCTGCAAAGAGATCCAGCTCTGAACTGCCGGAAGGCTGAGAAGCCATTCAAGTGCAGTCACAGAGACCTACTGATGGAAGAAGGGAAGGCTCAGATACTTTCTAACACTCCTGGTCCTCTCCACTTCTTCCCCAGTAAATTCATGCCCAGGCAGGGCATTTTCATTCAGTCTGTTCCACAAGTAATCTAAGAGTTGCTTTGTACAGATAAACATCTATCAGATTGTTCAGACTAGATATAAGGAAGAAATTTTTATAATGAGGGTGGTGAAACACTGGAATAGGTGGCTTAGAGAGGTTGTAGATGCCCTGTTCCTAGAAACATCCAAGGTCAGGTTGCATGGGGCTCTGAGCAACCTGATCTAGTTTAAGATGTCCCTGATCACTGCAGGGGGTAGGACTGAATGACCTTTGAAGGTCCTTTCCAACCCAAACCATTCTATGATTCCGTGATTAGCAAGTTCTTTGCTTTCTATACATTATTCCTGCCACCTGTATCTTGATAATTGGGCTTTCCCAGAAGGATTGTCTGTGGATATAGAGCTCAGCCAGCTGGGGGCTGAGAAGCCGCACCACAGTGTCTGGGGCAAAGGCAGGCAGAGCAGGGTGCTGCTGTCTGAGCGGTGGTACCTGCCGTGACATCTGCATCCGAGGGGACACATCGGCAATCCAGGGCTGAGGAGCAGGAGACAGTTCCTCCCCACAGCAACCAGTCCCAGCAGTCTGCCGGGGGTTTAACGTTTGGATATCCTCGCTAAAGACTGGTATCCCACCAGGGAGAGGATTGGTTTTCACTTTGTTACCTTGGACTTTCCCCACCAGCCTGCTCTGGTTTTGTCTGCCCTGTCCTTAACCCTCCCTTACAAGAGCTGCTTTAGGTACTTATCAAGCTTCAGCATCAAAACCACAGGCAAAAGCCAAAGCCTTGCTGACTGGCATCTCCTGTCACTTCCACAAACCAGAAATCCGTCTGCGAAACGCTGGGTAGGGGTGGTGGTGGTGGGGAACCCGCTCGTTAAAAGCCATAAAATAAAACCATCCCAGCTGTTAACTCCGCTTCCTGGTGAGGCAGGTAAGTGCAGCGCTGAGCTGAACGTGCCGGTACTGCGGAGATGCTCTTTCACCAGGCAAGGCGACAAGCACAGAGAAACCGCACCGGGCAGAGAGCGGGGTGGGCGCAGAGGGAGGGACGGGACGGCCAGAGGGAAGCTCCGTCCGGAGCCACCGATGCCGGAGATGTTGAGGCTGCCCCAGACGCCCCGGAGGCGGGAATGACCCCCGCGTTTTCCCTACCAACTTTTCGGGAGAGCCGGGCTCGGCGGCGGCGCTGGCAGGTGCACCGCACCGGTCGTGGGCAGCGGGGCGGAGATCGTCCCTGTCCCCACTCCTACCCCGCAGCGGAGAGGCGCGCAGCCCGGCGGCGAGGCGCGCTCAGCGCCGCGGCTCCGACCCGCGGTACCCGGTGTCCCCGTCCTCGCCGGGGCCAGCCGCGCCGCCGCAGCGCCCTCTGCCGCCGGCGGGGTGTGACGGCGGCGGGCCGGGGATCGCGTGCGAGCGGCTCGCCGGCGGCTCGCCCTGTCACTCGGCCGCCAGCCCGCCACCTGAATCACGAGGGAAGCGGCGGCCGAGCATCCTCCCCACCCCCGGCGCCCTCCGTCCCGCTGCAGCAGCCCGCTCTCGCACCTCCGCCCCTGCACCGCCGCTCAGCGCCGCGGACGGGGGGCTGATCTTCGCCCGCAGAAACTTTGCACCCCCGGGTCGTGGCGGGGACCGTGGGGTAAGTAAATGGTTGCATCCCGAGACCTCGCGGTTGGGCGGGCGAGGCTTCAGCCCCGGCTTTGCGGGGGGACCAGGGGACCGGAGCACCCCACGCCTCGGGGTGTCTGTTGGGGCTCCCCTCCCCGGCTGTTTCGGCGGCGGTGGGACCGCAGCCGTGCAGGACGCGCGGCGCTCCTTCCACCCGAGCGCCGGTGGCGGTCCGCAGCTCCCGCGAAGCGAAAGCACTGGGAGCTGCCGGTGTCCCCGTGCGGGTGATGCCCGGGGTGCTGCACGGCTGGCCCCAGGGCTCAAACCTGAGAGGCGGAGGGCTTTGCCGGGGCACCTTGGCCCCGTCTGGCCTCACCCATCCTTTCCGCTGATGCTTCGAGAGACCTTTCAGGGGGAAAGCCCGGAGAATAAAGTTTCACGTTGCCTCCTTGGAGCCCCGAGGGCACTCGCTTGGCCTTACGCGGGGTGGGTTTGCTTTGGGGTCAGGCGTTGCATCCCCCCAAAGCTTCCCTTCTCAGTGGCTTATAACTTCAGAGCTACAGATTCTTGTTGTGTTTCAGTTTGACATAGCCAAGGAGGAAAAATCAGCGAGGGAAGGGCAAAGCATGTGTACAGGCTCTCGTGCTTTTCCCCGACTTTGCGTTACTTTCTGTAGTAAACGCGAGTTTTGCCCCTCCTCGGGTGAAGCTGTAGTTTTATGTCTTTATTGAAGAATAACGCAAATAGCATAAAACCGAGTTATAACACGTAAGAAACTCTTTCTTCCCCGAAGACGGGCACAAACAATGTTTGTGCGTCATTTAGTGAGTGTCTAGGAGATAGACTATTAAGACCAAAAGAAAAAAAGAAGGAAAAAAGGAAACAAAAACCAACAGAAAACCCCAAGAATATGCTTGACGTTGTTTGGTAGTTGAAGATTTCAAAAAGACAACCGGGGCTGTATTTAAATAAAACTGAATGATCTGGTTGGGCTCAGAATTGGTCTGTTGAGAAGAATGTTGATGCACATATGTTTGCAGTAGATAAAATAAAACAGTGCTCTTTTATGAACCGTAGAGAGTGTTATTATCCAGGGCTAAGACTAAATTGTTGCGTGCAAGTGAGAGACTTAAACGACTGACAAGATCAAATTCACTGGCAAGACACTTGGTTAATTTGCAACCAAGAGCAAGAATTCGTTTCCTTGAAAAACAAAGTACCTAATGCCATAGATATTAAGATCCAAAGCCATCAGATCAGGTTTTGACAGTAACTTTAACACTGTTGCTCCAGCTGGCACCCCCTGCACAAGCAAGGGCTGAGGCAGTGCTCGCTTTTCACTGCTGCATCCACCGCATCTCCTCATCAGTGTATATATTTGTGACAGCATAGTTGTTTCCATAGTTGACTATAAAAGCGTATTTGGGTGTTCTCCGGTCTCAAGGAGAGACCCGGGTTTCCAGGGGCTGCGTCGGGCCTATGTATAAACACCTCCAGCCTTCCTTCAGCTCTGGAAGCACAAAGCCCCACAGTCTGCAGGGTGAAGATGTACTGAGGTGGACTGTTTCGGCAAAGAGCGGCAGGGAACGGATGCTGGCATGTGGAAAAGCCAGGTTGTTGTAGTCTTGGGATTTTTATTCCAAACAAGCCATAGAAGGGGTGGTACGTTATTACCTCAACTTCCCATCGATTCTGATTTCTACCCAGGAATCGTGAGGAGGAAATGCATTGCTAGGCCCTGTTTGCAGTGCGGATGCTTACGAAAACCAGCCAGGCAATCTAATATTGATTCATCATTTTAAGCGTGCAAACAGACTTAAACTCCACCATGGGGGATTTACTAGTTAGAAGTGATTTTTGTATTTGATTTGCCTTTCTCTAGATATATCTAAAAATATAGAAAAGACACTGTTGGTATCAGGGACTGCACATATGCAGCTGAAGTTGGCACAGCTTTTGCCGTTGTGTTTTAAAGGGGTTTGCTTTAAGCCAAGACCCCACTAAATATGGGGGCTCTGCTATTGAATAACTAAGGTCTGGTGCCAAATCTTTCCTTAATAGTCGTGGTAATTACTGCTGACTCATGCTGACATGTGAGTTTAATTAGCCCCAACTGGAATGTAAAGGATGTGGGAGTGTCTCTTTGTGCCCAGAGACAGCTAGGACAAAGCAGATTTTGGAGGAAAATTTAAGGAATTGGCAAGTTTGGGTGGGAAGTGTCAGCCAGGGCTTTTTTTTTTTTTTTTTTACAGTAATGTTTGAGTAACCAATAAAGTTGATTCTCAGGAAGGGGATGAATTTGGATAGCATGAGCTTGTCTTCACTATGGAGTAACTGGAGTCCTAACTCAGACATTGCTTCTAATTTGACTCATGTCCACACACACATGAACTCGTTGCCGAAGAGTGGTGATGTTTTCAATTTGAGTTGGCTTACCCATGAGGAATAAGCTATAGCTCAGATAACCACAATTCATCAGCTGCTAACACAATCTGCCTGAACGGCACAAGTGGGATTTTGCTCAACTCTGGCTGCTCCCACTTGAACCAGGGTTACCTGGAGAGCTGGCAGTGCGTGCCTGCTTCCCTGCTATGGGCAGGCCAAAGGCATCATCAGTTCTGCCATGAGGCAAGCAACAGGATGTTTGTCAAAGTGAATGTTCTCACACAATTCCTGTCTAACTGTGTGTTTATGACAGCTTGCTGGTGGTGGTCACTGTCACCACACAGCCGTGGTAGGCAGGACAGGAGGGCTTGGCAGCAGTGCAGTGCTCACTGATGCTCAGAATGGGGCATCGCTGCAACAAGATGTGAAAAGCAAAGAATGTCTACCCCAGAAATTTGTTTTCTGCCAGCTACCACCTGGTACAAGAAAGTCAGTCATATGTCAGAGGTATATGCTGATATATATACGTAGGAATAAATCCAGCCATACTTGGATAGCAGAAGCAAGAGCTGCTACTTTGGGAGAAACAGTTTTGTTGTTGGCCCTCTATGCAAATTGCTACTAGGAAGCGCAGACCAGGATTTCTACAAACATTTTGAGGTCGAAGCAAAGAAGGAGGGCACAGGAGCAAATATGCAGTCTTCAGTGTATGAAGTGCATGCTTTTTCTAAGAGGAAGCAGGCTCCTGGGTCTGCCTAAAGAATGAAAGTTTCAAGGTACTTTGCAAGGAATTTGAGTCAGAGTTAGGGACTAGCTGAACATCCTGAGATGGAAATGCTTTAGGAGTATGTCTCTGTCAGTCCAGAGCTCCCACAGAGCTGTTGACAGTCCTTTTGGATTTAGTTCAATTTACCTTCAGAGCGATGATCTTTGAGGTTTCTAAAGCAGTTGTAGCTGCGTTGTGCTGTCGTCAGCATAAGAAATACACCATGGGTAACTGCAGAATTTGAATGGATGGACTGGCAGGATTGCATAAGTGGGGCGGACAAAATGATGCCAACATAATGCCAACTAAATGCACCCCAAGTATTTATGACCTCCTAAGGTCCCCAGTACCAGTGTGTAATACAACCATTTCAGTGTAGACATCTGTTCATACGCTTGCAACCCTCAATCACACAGTCAGGCAGCTAGAATTGCAAGGAACCCAGTGTATCTCTTTTACCTTTGTTTGTGAGACCTTACGCTGGATCTGTTGTGGTTTAAACCCAGCCAGACAGCTCATTCACTCACTTCCACCCATTCTTGCCCTCCCCCTACTCCCAGAGGGACAGAGAGGAGAATCGAAAAGAATACAACTCCCACGGGTTGAGATAAGAACAGTTTAGTAACTAAGGTATAACACAAATCACTACTGCTACCACCAATAATAACAATGATAAAGGAAATAACAAGGGAAGAGAATACAACACCTCACCACCAGCCGACTGATAACTCACCCACCCCCCAGCCCGACCAACCACCAACCCATACCTCCTCCAACCCTGCAGTCTCCCAGCCCTTCCGGGTAACACTCAGTTACCTCCTGGGCATGACGTGCTGTGGTATGGAATACCTCTTTGGCTATCTTGGGTCAGGTGTCCTGTCTCTGCTTCCTCCCGGCTTCCCCTCCTCCCTGGCAGAGCATGAGGCTCACAAAGTCCCTGGCCAAACCAAAACATCCTTGTTATCAGCTCTGTTCCCGAGCCGAAAGTCAAAACACAGCACTGCACCAGCTACCAAGAAGGAGAAAAATGACTGCTACTGCTGAACCCAGGACAGGATCTTATCCTTTCCCTCTAATAGGTGCCTTCTGGTGTTCAACAGCAGGGCAAGTGCAGGATGATGGTGTAAAATAGTGTGAGATGGCAGAGCTTAGCAGCCTGTGTCAGGGGAACACCTTTAATCTGAGTGCCTGTGAGCGAAGCATTTAGGCTGCATCCAGGAACTTGTTGCAGGATGAGACTGCTTTGGGCTGGCCCATACTGTCTACGGTTTTGAATCAAGGCTGCATCTGCAGACAGTGAATAAATAATTTGCATGAATCAGTCTATTAAGCTGAGGCTGCAAAACATGTTGTCTGCCACCGTGTCTTCGACCCTTCCTGTTACTGCAGTGGTGCCTGGTGCACCAAAACTATTGCTCTGTATTAAAGAGCAATATCCATGCATACGTATTACATATTTATTCCTTAAACTTTATTTGCATTGATGCTGAATGGTGGTCATTTCAGTAGGTTTAGCTTGCTGAAAACATGTGCCGCCATAAATCCAAATTTTGTCACTCATTAAGGACTGTAAAAATCCACCACTAGTGGATTCCTCCCTCTTCTGTAACACTGGAGCTGAGGCAGAGTGAAGATGAATATGTGGCAGTTTCGGGGTCATTGTCTTGCTTTCCTGGGAAGTTTGCTGTGTTTGGTACTATATGATCCCTGGGAATCATGATGCTGAGTAGCCTCTCAAAATCCTTCCTGTATTGAAACTCCAAATATTATGCTCTCACCTCCCAGTCAGAGAGGCATTGTTAAGAAAGGGGGCTCTTCTTTGCCTCCTCATCTTTCACAGGGATTTGCTTCTCCAAAATGCGTTTTCCTGATGTCTGAGA